TCTTTTTTCTAATCCAATCAGCCAAGGTCTTGTGAAACAATAAACTATTTGCCTGAAAGAATAAGTAAGACACTCAAAGGAAGCACAGCCTCATGAAAGTGACTCTTCAAACACTACCCCTCTCATCCCTGCTTAAGAGTCTACAGTAAGACTAGATAATGGACTAATGAAAAAGTGTAATCCAATACAAGAACTCACTGTCACCAGGAATGGGAGGTTCCACTCCTCCTTTCTTCATCTCCATTCCTAGATTTGTCTTTTATCAGACCCTTCAATGAACTGATTTAACTCAAGAAGTCAACACACTTAAACAAACAGAAAACACTCAACAGGTTTTCTGTGAGGTCAGTGAGTCACGTTAGCTCATGGAAAAATCCAACAAGCTACATCATCAGTGAAAGTAGGCAGCTGGTACTGGCTAGGAAAAGGAACAAAGAGCCAAGTAAATAGGCAGGAGGAGGAGCAAGGCTTTCTCCTTTCAGTTGTCACATCATGAGCTCAGATGTTCACGAAATCACCTTTGACTAGATACCTAGCTTTTAGACAGTCAAAGTTAAGTGAAACAAATCCTACCTTAAATGACTATGCAACACACTCACAAGAGATCAGACTTCCCATGAACATCAAGTGAATAAAAAAACCAAAACAAAATTATATATAATTTGAGAAATATGACAGCATACCTCTCATTACGTTAACAATCCATATTCTACTAATCCACCATCAGCAACTTGCAATAGCCAAAGTAATCACCTTAAAAAACCAAAAAGTATAAATAGGGGGAAAAAATTATCAAAGAGAAACATTAAAACCTTTATTATAGGAAGTTCCATAACCTGGATACTGCTCAGATATCACTGTAGAGAATCCAGTGAAAATAAACACTTAATACCTTTGTGTGCCTAAGTGCAGAAATTTTGGAGAATATCTGCATGACTTCTACATTACAGAAGACATCAATCTCATTCAAACTACTATCACTTCCTCCACAACACTGTTCAAAGTACAAATTCCAACAACAATTAGACACACATTGTTTCAGTGTGCATCCCTACACATGGCGCACACAGTATCACCCTTTCAATTTCTGTCTTATACTAGAGATACGGTTAATTATTAGGTGAAAAGCAACAAACAAGGTTATATCTTAACTCAGGATTAAAATTTTTGCTTTAGCCACATACACTACTAAGTGAAACTGACAGCAGTTACTGAAATCTTGTAAGAGAGCTACAGTTGGTAAA